TGATGGGCCTCTCAGCTCAGGTAACATTCAATATGCTACTGAGGAATTGCTGAGGATCTTTTGGAGTATTAATGGTATTTATGATGTAGCAACATTAAAGCCTTTGGGAGACTGATGTTGCCATGCAGGAAAAGAAAATCCAAAGCCACAAAGACAAAAACATAGAAAGAATAAGTAATTTTCTTTTCCTGCATGGCAACATCAGCCTCCCAAAGGCTTTAATGTTGCTACATCATAAATACCATTAATGCAGTATGAGCATGGGGAAGCTCAACATAGTGAAAGATTAAATAAACTGACTGCAGAACGACATCTTAAGCATCAATAAATTGAAATGGACTGGAATTGGCTGCTTTTAATTCAGGAGATCATACTGTTCACTCTGCATTACACGATCAACAAATAGGACAATGTTGTTTTCACAGCCAGGAACGATATGACAAAGACAGTGCTTGGGTACAATAAAGTCAATAACTGACTTCAGTTGGACTTTATAGATAATCTTTAATTATGATAGTTATCCAAGTCTATTCATCAATCATCGATGCAGAAGAGGAAGCTGTCAGGTTTTATGGTCAAGTTTTAAAATGAAATCAACAGAACATGCCAGTTGTGTTGCCTGTGACTGGAAACTGCCAAAGTTAAAAAACATAGTTTGATTGTATAGGCTAGAGTTCCCCAATGTTTCCGGCTTTGCAGACCGGCGGGGAGAGGGGATGATTTGCACAAGCAGCTGGCAAGCGCGCGCAGCTCCATTTGCGCGTGTGGCATACACGCGTGCCTGCTGCTCACACAAATGGAGCACACGCACCCCCACTGCAAGTGCAAGTAAGGATGTTTGGCGGCTGTTTCCACGGCCCGGCTGCAAACCCCTCACAGCCCACTAGTAGGCTGCAACCCACAGGTTGGGGACCCCTGGTATAGGCTAGGTTATCAATTTCTGCAAATCCAATGATTTCTTCATTGCTAACACAGTCTTCAAGCAGCCAGAACATTGCCTCTTTACATGGACATCGCCAGATGGAGTTGAAGAAACCAAATTGGTACAAGGGGGCAGAAGAGCTCATTTACAAAACAGACATGAACAGAGACTGCAGAATAGACTGCAAATCGGTTAAATGCAAATTCCAAGTCAAATGTAAGCAGAAAAAAGCCAACCACTATCTGCAAAATGATTGATCATTTACAAGGAAACACTGTAAATGTTTCATTTACATTGCATTTTTTGACCAGGTGACAAAATTAGTAGACCAGAGGAATGCTGTGGATATAATGTATTTAGACTTCAGTAATGCCTTTGATAAAGTAAACCACAACCTATTACTTGATAAGATAGAAAAATGTGTGTTAGACAGCATCACCACCAAATGGATTTGTAGCTGGCTGACCGGACGTACTCAGAGTGTGGTCCTCGATGGAGCTGCATCTACATGGAGGGAAGTGTGTAGTGGGGTGCCCCAGAGCTCTGTTTTGGGCCCGGTGCTCTTTATCAATGATTTGGATGAGGGGATAGATGGGGAACTCCTCAAATTTGCAGACAACACCATGTTGGCAGGAGTAGCCAATACTCCAGAAAACAGGCTTAAGATACAGAAGGATTTTGACAGACTTGAACATTGAGCGCTACCTAACAAAATGAAATTCAATGGTGAAAAAAGCAAAGTTCTACATTTAGGCAAGAAAAACCAAATGCACAGATATAGTATAGGGGGTACCTTGCTCAATAGTAGTAACTGTGAGAGGGACCTCAGAGTCCTAGTGGACAATCACCTAAATATGAGCCAGCAGTGTGCTGCAGCTGCCAAAAAGGCCAACACAGTGCTAGGCTGCATTAACAGAGGAATAGAATCAAGATCACATGAAGTGTTAATACCAATTTACAATGCCTTGGTAAGGCCACACTTGCATCCAGTTTTGGTCACCGCGATGTAAAAAAGTTGTTGAGACTCTAGAAAGAGTACAGAGAAGAGCAACAAAGATGATTAGGGGACTGGAGGCTAAAGTATACAAGGAACGGTTGCTGGAATTGGGTATGTCTAGTTTAATGAAGAGAAGGACTAGGGGCTGACATGATAGCAGTGTTTCAATATCTCAGGGGTTGCCACAAATAAAGAATCAAGCTATTCTCCAAAGCACCTGAAGGCAGGACAAGAAGCAATGGGTGGGAATTAATCAAGGAGAGAAGAAACCTAGAACTAAGGAGAAATTTCCTGACAGTTAGAACAATTAATCAGTGGAACAACCTGTCTCCAGACACTGTAAGTTTTTAAAGAAGAGACTGGACAACCATTTGTCTGAAATGGTATAGAATTTCCTGCCTGAGGAGAGGGTTAGACTAGAAGACCTCCAAGGTCCCTTCCAACATCATCATCATTATTATTACTATTACTACTACTACTATTCACTTGGAAGTTTTGAATCTTGTTGACAGAAAAGTTAGAGAAACTGTAGCAGGAAATCAGAAAAATCTTTTTTTTAAAATATATTTTATTGACTTTTTAACATAATCGCCTTAATCTTTGGTAAACAGCATGTTGTCTGGGTTTATCAGACAAATCTTAATGATGAATGTGAAGAGTCAGCCAAAGACCAAGAACCAGAAGAAAGCAAACTAGATGTCCAAACAAATGGTGGAAATTGCCAAGAAGAGAAGCCAAAATAAAAAAAAAGACAATGATCTCAGGAAGGAATTTAACAAAAAATATCAGAGAGCCATTAGAAAAGACAAGAAGAAATATCACAACATTTGTAAAGACACTGAAGATGGAAACAGATGTGGCGAAACAGAAAGTTTTCCCAAAGTTCTTTAAACTCAGAAAAAAGTACCAAATACAAATAGTAGCTTATAATAAAATGATTCAAAAAGAAGGGCAAACAAAGATGGAAAGAGTATACTAAAATCATTAAAGAAGTCAACAGCCAAGATACTTTATAATATTCCCTGTCTACCTCTGGACTAGAAGATGAAGTTAGAACAGCACTAAATTACTAAATCAGAGGACTATATGAATTGATGAAATATCTGCAGAAATATAGCAAGCAACAGAAAAAAACCCTGTAAAAATGCTGATAAACTAGGCCAGCAAATCAGGAGAACATCAGTGATCAGTAGATTAGAAAAGATCAGCCTATATACCAATACTAAACAAACAGAATATGCAATATCTTTAATTTCACATGCTAGCAAAATAAGGCTTAGGATTATTCATTGCAGGTTAGACCCTACATGGAAATGGAGCTGTCTAATGTCAAGTTTGTTTTAGAAAAAGGCCAGGGAACAAGATCCATTACTGCTGATGTATGTAGGATAACTGAGAAAGCTGCAGAATATCAAAAAGAAGTTAATATATGCTTCACCAATTGTAGAAAGTTCTTCTACTGTGTTGATCATATCAAGTTATGGAATGTCCTTAGGAAAACAAGAACTCCAGATCATCTCATTGTCCTCATTCAAAAACAATACATCGGAGAGGAAGCCACTGTCTGGACAGGCAGTGCTCCAGACAGACCAAGAAGCGAAGCAATGGTGTAAAGTCCCTGATTATTTATTCAAACTAAATGCTGAATATGTCTTGAGGGAGGCTGGATTGGAAGATGAGTGTGTCCTTTAAACTGGAGGAAAAAGCATTAAACTGGGCTATGCTGGTGACATTACTCTGATAGCTGAAAATACAAATGATCTGCAAGTTCTAGTAATGAAAATCTTAGGGGCACAGTGGGGAAAAAAAGACTAAATATAAAGAAGACCAGACAATATATACAGCAACCAGTCTTAGAACAGACAATGGAGATACCGAAACACTGGATAGTAATGTCTTTTAGGATTCAAAGATAAAGGAACCTGCAGTCAAGATCTCTTGATAAGTTTATGTCAGGAAAGGAGAGAAAGGGTGGGGAAAGGATAACCAAAAACAAGATGGATGGACCTGATTACAGCAGCAATCAGTGCAATGCACCATTGACATGAAGCACTAAGTTTGGAGACAGATCATCATGGAGAAAGTGTATCTGTGTGAAGAGTCACACCCACTTGATTGTACATAATATCCAAGAATCTCTATATACATAGAGCACTGTTGTTATTCAATTCAGATTCAGAATTTTTTTTAATATCTGAGGTATTACAGATTTCTATTAGCATGATAATGGAAAACTTGTTCTTTTTCTTTCCTTTCTCCTTTTTTTTAACCTGCTTGTTTGTCAGATGCTTATCCCATCTTCCCCTCCAGTAACTCAGAGCAACTTATGTGAGGATTACTGTTTTTATCCTCACAACAAAGATATTGGGTAGCATGGGCAGATAAATAAGAACTGGTCTTGGGAAGCTCCACCCCAAATGCTTCATGGTAGAGCAGTAACCTGAACTCAAGTTTCCTTAAACTAACTTCATCTGCTCTATTATACTTAATTCTCTTTTGACACGGGGATCGAATTAACAAAAATGCCTTGTAGCAGTGTTCCAACTGAAAAGCACTCCCAAGTATAAATCTGAACTTAATGGATACTACTCAGGATGACTACTGCACAATTCCTCTGGACCAAGCAAGAGCTTGTCATGGGGAAAGTCCACTGTGAATCCTTTCAAGTGAATCTGCCTTCACTATGAAGATTGTTAAGAATTTCCAGAACTTTTATTTTCTGTGTGACATTCCACAACAATCTTATTACACTTCCATTTTACAATGACAATTGTAGTGCTTCCAAAATAAACTATATACTTGCTTTTCACAACGAAGTATCTAATGAGAGCTGGATTTTAAAGACTTGGAAAGGGGAGATCTTGGTTCAAGCTCCCACTTAATCACAGAATTGTTTCAATTACTCAACCTTTATTTTACGGGGTTAGGATGAGAATAAAATTAGAGATCTCGTATAAGCTGGTTTTGGTTCTCACAGAAAGCAGGACGTAAATGCAACAAACAAGTAAATGTAAACTCAACAGAAAAAAATAACCTAAGTTAGTTCAGCTGTTATTAAAGCCAAACACAGAGTTCACTTACAGGCAAGCAGCAATACCATTGGAGTAAACAACACAGGTCCCACCATTCTCACAAGGTTTGTTGCCATCTAGACATTGGACAGCTGTGGAAGAAGAAAAAAAAGCTTAGTTAGAGCAGGCTGTGGATAATGATAGGAACTGTAAATTTACATTTAAGCTCAAAAGAACAAGCCAAAAGGCTATATAGTCCAATATAAGCTGGAATCACGCAACTGGAAAGCTATGATCTGATCTTAAAAACCAATTCTAAGACCTGCTATTTATGACTACCTCCTGTTTAATCTGGTACATCTTTTACTTTTCTATTCTCCAGTAATACCCCAAAACCAGCCAGCCAGACTGTTTATCTATTTTCCTTCCATCAGTGCAGAACACAGGGTGTCTATGTTTCAGGCAGTAATTCTGCAGAGGTTTAAGCAATTTTTCCTCAGCCCCAACTGAAAATACTAAGAGCTCTTCTCATATAACATACACTATACAAATAAATTGGGGGGGGGGGAGAAACAGGATCCTTCTATCTCTTTCCTGCCACTGCTAGGTATAATTGTTAAACAAGATGATCTCATAAATGAAGGCAAGTTTTGCTATGACAATTCTTGTCCACAATCCCACAAATGAAAATGTTTCTTGCTAAAATACTCACCAAAGGAATAGCTACTGACTGCTATCAGGAGACTTCAGAACAAAGACAGGGGGTCGTGAGAATTTGCAAAAATGTGAAAGTCTGGGGGGGGGGGCAGATGCTTAAATCTGTTTATGCATAATTAAAATAGTACTCTTCCATAAATGGCTTCAAAGATCCAAGAATTGTTAATCTGGGGGGAGGCAGAAGGAAAAAAAACCCCTAACTGCAATGGAATCCTCAGTAAAGTATGATATTACACGTTAAATCAAATAATAAAAAGTAATTATGAATAGCAAAAATAGTGAGATTCTTTCACAGAATAGGCCTGATTGGTTCCACTGGCACAGCCTTAACCTCTGCACTTCTTAGTAATTATAGGCAACTTTCATTGCTGAAGGTCAAAAGGTAAGCAGAACCCCAGCAGAAGTCCAGAGGAAAAGGATGAATTGGCACATTCTTGATAGAAAAAAATGGCCTCTTCTCATGACCCCCCTCTCCTCTTCCTGTCTTGTGGGAAGGCAAAGCACAGATCTCATGGAGAGAAGAACAATTATGGGATGCATTATATGAAAGTCCAAGTCAAATGCAGTTTAACTCTAATACTCAAACCTTCCAGCCAGGAGAGACATTGACTATACTGGCTAAGAGAGATGAGAATTCAACTGAGAATTCTGCCAAAAACAAACATGGGAAAGTTTATAACATAGTTGACAATTATGGGACATAAGTGTGTCTACTGCTACCATCCACAACATATTAAGGGATATGTAAGCGTCCCATGTACCATTTCATTTCTTCAGAGCAAATGCTTAAGAGCCGTGGTGATGCAGTGGTTAGATGGCAGTATTGCAGGCTAATTCTACTGATTGCTGACTGTCAGAGTTCGATCCTGACTCGCTCAAAGTTGACTTAGCCTTCCATCCTTCCGAGGTCAGTAAAATTCCGAGGTCAGTAAAATGAGGACTCAGATTGTTGGGGACAATATGCTGACTCTGTAAACTGCTCAGAGAAGGCTGTAAAGCACTGTGAAGCGGTATATAAATCGAAGTGCTATTGCTATTGCTAAGTGCTATTATGTTCACACTCTCCCAAAAAAATGACAATATAACTTTATTTTACTGAGGAGCCTCTTACTTCACACTGTATAGGCTCCTCTATTCAGTCTTGGATTGTTCTAGTGACCCAGAAGCCTTGTAATGACAATATCAAGGCAAGGACTAGTGCCACCAAAAAGCTTAGCAGAGGAGAGGCTATGTCAGTGATGGTAAACCTTTTAGAGACCAAGTGCCCAAAAACTGGCCCCGCGCCCGTTCCACCCCCTGCCCCGTCCTCACCCTGCCTGCCCGCAGGGCCACTCACTGCCTCCAGGACCCGCCACAGATCGCCCAGCAGCACCATGGTGGCCATGCCCTCTGCCCGTGCCCCGCAGCATCAACTGCGTGCGATGGGGCATGAGGGCAGAGTCTTGTCTACACTACCTGGCTGCCATGTCCTTGGTTGTGCTGCTCCACGTGGGCCATGCTCAGGGGCAACTCTCCTCCAGGGGGGCTGCTGGTGAGGAGGGGGTCGCGGGGTGAGGCAAGACTGGGGCAACGGCACGTGTGCCCACAGAAAGGGCTCCAAGTGCCGCCTCTGGCACACGTGCCATAGGTTCGCCACCACTGGGCTATGTCTTCAGTTGAAGAACTGTGTCAGGTCTTACTACAGTGACTGATTCCACTGCCAGTTCAACAGCCTGAAGGGGGATTTCTTATCAGATACAACCAGAAGTTAGCCATTTATTCAGCAGTGGCTATGCCAGGAGCAACCAGTGGTCTACAAACATACAACCACATTCTCATCACTCTGCACTAGGCATGAAATTCTAGACAATTCCCTTAGTACTGCCCTAGAGAAGGATCTGCGGGGACGGTTATTTGAAAGTAGCACTGAGTTCAGAAATCTCCGTAGATTTCTGCTAAAGGTAGAATCTTATCTCTTCAGGGGAAAGAGATGAACAAAAGTGGCTCCAAAAATGAGGGGCTCTGAATCCCACAGCCATCCTACTCTGAAAATGCTGGCAGCAGTGTTGAGTGGGGCAGGAGAAGGCAATTAGTAAGTTGCCCAGCATATTTCCCGGTAGGGCTCAGCTTAAGGGAAAGTATCGCAAATGCAAGCACCACCATTCCCCCCTTCCAGCCATGTGAGTAGGGTGCTTAAGTGCCCTATGAAAAGATCAAAAGGAAATAAGCATCCATTCCTCAAGGAAGCCCTTGTGCAAGAGAGGTGCTGTTAGTGCTCCAGGCCCAGTCAGTGAAGGAAATTCAGCTGCCGGCTGAAGCCCTCCCTTCTCAAAAGCAGAGAGAAGATGGAAGGAGCTGGGGCCCAGGCAATTCCCTCGTTCTCAGCCATTTTCCAGAGACCCACTTGTAACAGAGTGCGTGCCCAGCACACAGATCAGTTCCAGACAATGCCTCTCCCCCCCTCTCCGCTGCCGCCCCTTACTCCGTCAGCATGCAGAGCCAGCAAAAATGCTGCAGCAAAATGTCTCTCGGCAACTCTGTGCTCAGTCCAGAGTAAAATAAGCCCTATTTTAACTGAAGCCAAGGTGCCGTACTTTTCACCAACCCCATGCCTTTCACAACAAAGATTACTACTAGTCACAGGGTTCTGACATTAAACACCTTGCTGGCATCTGCAGAGATTCACTCACCTCCTTGTATGCAGAACAAAGCAACCTATTTTCACTCTCCGCCTTTTTAACAAGAACTGTTCCCCATATGCCTATATTTATATGCATGTGCACATGTGTTCTGATAAAAGGGCAGGGGGTCTTTGGGAAGAAGTCTTTCAAAATTCCTTAAGGACATCTTTCAAATTTAGCATCCTGAGTGCTTCTGAACATGGACACATTCTCAGAACAGTCAACCCAAAGAGACACTCAAGGATTTCAGCAGAGATTATTCCTGGCACAAGGCAAGCCCTCGTTTTCCTCTACAATTTCCTCCTTTCCAGAGTATGCAGCCAAATCTGAGCCAGTGGAATGCAATCCTGGATCCCTCGCTGCCCTCAAAAGTTGCAGCTTCTACCGCCGCACACCATCTTGGCAGCCAAGATTTCAGCATACGTTACTCTTTCAGCCTCCATGCACTGGGGCCTGGCTAAGAGAGAGTCAATTCTATAACCCAGCGTTGATCTCTAGCTCACAGTGACTAGAGCTAAAGCCAAACACACACAGGATAGTCTACAGCAGTGGTTCTCAACCTTTTTAATGCCGTGACCCCAACTGGTCGTAAGTCAAGGACTAAACCGGTCGTAAGTCGAGGACTAAACCGGTCGTACGTCGAGGACTACCCAACCGGTCGTAAGTCGAGGACTTTCCCTGCCCGGGAGCGCCGCGCATGTGTGGTTCCGCCCCCTGCGCCGGCCGAGGCATAGCTGGCAAGCGGCAGAGACGGAGCAGGTCGACCACCAGCTGGCCCAGCCCAAGGGAGGTAAGGCACCCGCCGGAAAAGGGGGAAAAAATGGCAGACAAAAAAAATGGCGGACAGCCTTGCTTGGCGACCCCCATGAAATGGTCGATCGACCCCAAATGGGGTCCCGACCCACAGGTTGAGAACCACTGGTCTACAGTGATGCACAAGTTTGAGATGCAATCATATATGCACGAGAGGAGTGTGCTGTGACAAAAGAAGATATCACCCATCAGTGGACTCTTGATATTTGCAGCATTTTAGAAACCTCCATCCTGCATACCTTCTTTTCCATTAAGGTGAACCTAGCAAAGGGGTTTAGCCAGGAAAGAATCCAGATTTCCCTCAGTTCAAAGGGAAGGCTAAACCTTCACATTCAAGCAAGCCGCAAATCCATTTTGATCCACCACCATTAGCTTCCCCAAAGAACCCAGAAAGTTAGCTCTCGAAAGCTCTGCCTCAGCCTATTCAGAAACAAACAGGACAGCAATTAGGTTCCTTGCCCTTGAAAGAACCATTGGGAATAAGAAAGGGCAGAGGTTACTCATCCAGGCAGAGATTTTACAGTCAAGTACTGAGTCCCACTGCTTTGACCACTTAATCCTCATGTCATGTTCCTGGCATGACTAAGCTAACTGCCAGGAGCCCTGGCTTCTCACCCTCGTCCCATCTATCCACCCTTTCCCCACCAGTAAGCATCACTGCTTGTGTAAACTATATACAACAATGAAACAAGCTTCAATTCACCTTTTCTTCTCCATCTGCCAAATGAAGTGGCTATTTTCTCTCCTTTGGGCAGAACTAATCCTGAAAAGGCTATCTATACTTTCCAAAGAAACATAAGAAGAAGACTCTATTTTGCATTCCTTGCATTGGGAACTAATCAAGAAAAGGGTAGTTAAGAATTTGGTCTTATTCATGAAAATCAGAAGCTCAGGTTCATTTGGGGAGGAAGGCTATGAAACCCAGTTTAACTAAAGCCTCAGAAGTTAGGAGAGAGGACACATGAAACCAGTGTTTCCCAACTTGGCAAGCTTAAGATGAGTGGACTTCAGTTCCCAGAATTCTAGGAGTTGAAGTCCACTCATCTTGAACTTGCCAAGGTTGAGAAACATAGCATTAGATCAGGCATGTCAAACTCACGACGTCACGTGACGTCGCGAGACGTATCAGGACTTTTTCCCCATTGCGGGCAATGGGATGGGCGCGGTTTTGGCGTGATGCATCCGGCCCGTGGGCTGGCAGTTTGACATGCCTGCATTAGATTGTCAGGCAACCTTCAGTTTGGATTAGCTCTCTTGCTTTTCCCCACAGCTAAAAAGATGAGGCAAAAAAAAAAAAAAAAAAACGCCACGTAAATTCACTTGATTTATGTAATTACTACAGCCTGCAAGATTAGACTGCTTTATTTTGTTTATGCTTTTTTAAAAAAACACACACACAAAGTATAAGGCATACTCATTCAAAATGTGTGTCTTGTGAAGGACAATTCACCTTAGCATCAGATTTGTAATTAATGTCTGATCTCTTAGTTTCACTTCATCATTTGCACCATATTAATTCATAACATAATACTATTATTTTAGATAGATTCTATC